CGAATTATCGTCCATTTTTTTCTAAAATATATTCTGACGTTTCCGCCGTTCGCCATGATAGCACATGTAAATGGTCAGCCTTACCCGAAATTATGACTAAACCACACCGTCCGTAATGAATCGGTATGATCGATAATCGGTCTAACTCTGTGATTAAGTTTCGTTCAACTGTTTTATGAACCATTTTAAAACGAAAATTCATGTGATTGGTATGTACAATATAGCATTAGAAAACATCCACAAAACATGGTTTAATGAACTTTTGAATATCTATATATATATATTTTATATATATATTTTTAATTAATGACTTGTTTTTGCTATAGTAAAGCGAATTAATTTTTATATTTTCTTTCCTTTCTTTATTCTCTCTCCTGTGTGAATATCGAATGCTTCGTCATTTTACATTTGAATGCCATTCCCGTATAAAGTATTCATAAAAATTATATCAACTAATTTCTTTCTCATCTGTTTAAATAGAATTTTCGTATCTCCCTTAAAATGTAGAATATTATTAGCAATATTAATTTTTATGTTCATTAGATGTATTGATAGTTTTTACTCTCCCCTTGGAATTAGTCTGTTTTTTTTTTGGTAAATTTTACATATATTTCAATTTTCCTATCGTCTACACATTCGCCCATCTGACTCTCTCTTGCATTCACTTTCTGAAAATATTGCACTTTTTATGCAGAAAAAATAAACTGAAATAAACAAAAGCAAATCAAATTAAAGTGAAGCCGCTGTGCTTTCACATACACTATTTCTAGTTTCATTGTATGATAAAGTAGCCTAAATGTTACATCGATATATGTAATTGTATGAAGTTTTTTTTTTCTTTCTTATTACAAAGCTTGTTCTGGATATATTGTAGCTGTTGTTGGATAATACATCGACACAATTTATGCTATTCGTTTAGAGCCCAAAGTGCACACACATATCGAGCCACCCGATGAGTTTGACCACAAAACCAAAGTGTTTTTACAACGCTTACGGCCCAAAGTGCATACTTCAAACTGATTCCGTTTATAAACTAAAGTGTTGTAATAGACTTCATTCAGATTTGGTATTGATTGAAGCATATTCGACCGTTAACGTTGTCCATACAATTTGCCTTGCGGTTCAATCGGCCCATTCAAACACTCCTTTGTACACACTAAATAAGACAATTACAAACTTGAACCCATAAAGGAAGCACTTGCAAATGCTCTTGCTAGCGAGAAAACGCACCCAAAAGAACCGAAAATATTGTACCAAAGAAATAACAAGGGAAAACAAATAATAAACAAAATGGTGTATTTTCTGAAAAATTAGCACAGATTTGTTTTTCTCTTTATTTCGATTATCAACGCACTAAAAACGGTAAAAATGTCTAATAAAAAAATAAAGCATAGAAAATGTATTAAATTAAACTTAAAACAAACGTCATAGATAATAATAATAATAATAAACAACAACATAAAAAAATATCATCTTTATCTATTTGTAAATCCATTTGCAAGAAAAATAAAAACAATTTTCTCTCTCTCTCTCTCTCTCTCTTTCTGATCTCACACATACACACACCGGCGCTATTTTATCCATTTGCATATTTCGAAAGCACATCGAAACGTTTGACCACTTTCAAATGTCACAGTCAATTCCAAAATAGAAGTTTCGATTCGATTCTTTTGAATTCGAGAACAATTCGCTGGGCTAATAAAAGAACTCGCACCTTTTTGTCTCAACAGCAAAGCGCAAATTCGAATGCCCAACAAAGTTTTTAATCGATTGGTACTCTCTGTTGTTCTCGCTTCTATCATTTCAAATTGATCGAGAGTTTTTGTTCGAAGAAAGTTCTGAGTTTTTGCACAGTTTCGCTGATGATGCCAACCAATTTGTCGGTTTGCAGAAAAAGTGCGGGCGAGAAAAAAACTAGGAAAAAAGGCACGAATCGAAATTTGTAAATTGACCAACTGGTTTTTTTTGTTTTAGTTTAAACCGTTTTTGTTTTGTTTTGAAAGTGGTTCAAAAGCACTCTGCAATTGCATATATATCGTTTGCGTTCATTCAAATGTGACAACAAACAAAATATGATTAAAACTTTACTATTTTTTCCTACATGTGTTGGTTTTCTTTATCGTTATGTTTTTTTGTTTATTTAAATACAGCTTTCTCTCGGTAATTTATTTATCGTTTACAAAAAATAGAAATAAAATAATTTTTGTTTATTTTAAAAAATATTTATAAAAATTGTGTTCGTTCTTTAAATTCTATGTGATTATTTTTGTTTCTCTCTTTCTTTTGCTTCTTCTTTTTTTTTCTCTGTGGTATTTTATCATTTCATTGCTTGTATTATAAAAATATCTATGATGTTCAAAAGGAAATTAGATTCTAAATTTGTCTCTCTATTTTGTATTATGTTACATATTTTCTTTAAACATTTGCTATGAACTGACGAGAAAAACGATAAATAAAAACGAAAATTTTGTGATTAATAACGAATAATGTAAATCGATTAAAAAAAAAGGAAAAATTTGTCTAACTGGAATTATACCTAAAAACACTCTATTCATTTTACATTCAACTAGAATTCATCTAATTTACTACATCTTTTGTTGCTTTTCTCTATCTCTGTCTCTCTCTCTCTCACGCATCCATCTATAAATGTTCAGGTTTAGAAAAAGAAAACCACCGAAAATGTGCATATTGAGATAACGATCACGAATGGAAAAATGATAGAAAAAAAAAACTAAATTCAATTTCATTCAATATGTCCATTCTGCGCGCGATTTAGACGATTTTCCTATAATTATTACTGTTTACAGCACTTATATTTTTTTATGTATTTATATATAGATTTATCAATAGAGTTTTTCCAACTAACTTCATTTCTTTTTAAATACAACTACGTGGTGATTAAATTTCTTTCATATGAATACGAAAGTTTTTATAACAGGAATAAAATACATAAATTTTTTTTGTATCTGTTATGTGGTTGTGTTATTTTTCTTCACTTATAAAAGAGAAAGATTCTTCGATTAATAGCTACCATAATAATATTAATTCAGTTATCAGTTTATATGTTTTTTGTTCTATACTTCAACATTCGGTATATATTTAATATTTTTTGTTTTGTTTTTCTTGTATATTCTGGCTGAATATTTGGGTTTTTTTTTCTTTGTATGCCTGGGCTATATGCAACTATATGAATACGTTCAATAATAAATCTGCTTGAATGAACTCGGTTTCTTATAGATGTATCCCGTGTGGTTTAATTGTAGACTTTTGCGACTTGTTCGAACGATGCCACACCGTGCACATTTCGATGAAGATTGAGCTATACACCTTAGAGGCTCAGGCAAGTGTACTTTGCCTGCACTTTGTACAATTCAGCGCGATGCCATTCTAACTACGCACAAGTCTACAATTTTCCATTTGGGATTCGAAATCAAGATTTCGTTTAAACTTTATGTGAATGTGTCTTTGTATCTGTCATCAATATAATATAGACATTTCAGAGCAATTTGAACGCATTTTTAAAAATTTGGTTTTTTTTTATTGATTAGATTTTGGATCTGATTATGGTAATATTAAAAATAGAATTTAACATCGATAAACTTTGAAAAAATTGAATGTATGTACTCTTTAACTCTCTGACTCTCTCTCTCTCTCTCTCTTTCATTATTCCCTTCGCCAGTTTTGTTTTATTCTCGATCCGAATTTTATGCGGTTTAAACAAAATAATGACGTTCAACTTGACTATTTTTGTAATTGTAGCATTATCACGAACTTATCAAACATGCATGAAATGGTAAACCATTGTTCGTAATCTAAGTTTTTCATGTGGCCAATTGTCCCAAAAACTCGCTATACATTTGAAGTTTTTTTGTTTGTGTGTTTTCGTTAAGAGGATGGAATTTTGGGTAGAAATGTGAAAATACACTTTGTATACGTAGAAAAAACAGCCATAAGAGCATTAGAATGCCAACTGCAGAGAGTGAGCTCTCGTTAGTGCAGTTTTTGGCTAAAAGTTGTTTTTTTGCGGAATAAATTCGGATTTCCCATTACGAATTCAAACGAATTTTCGGGTTCAGATTGGCATTTTACGAAGTGAACACTTCAACCGCGTTAGTGCTTGAATGTTTGTCTGTCCAACAAACAACGAGAAATCAACTGACTGACCATTTTATGATGAAAATCGTTGTCGACGTGAATGCCAGTCGAAGTGGCGGCAAATAGTACTTGGAATTTTCGTCATTAGATTATAAGTTCGCAATTAAGTGGTAATTTCGACGATTGAACGAATCAACAATGTAATTTTATTGCAATGATTATTTAATTGCATTTATTGTCGCTGACTTGACGAAAAACATTGACTCTTTTTCACATTTTATCAGAACTTTCGAACCTCTGCATTGTTTTTGTTTCTATATTAATTATAATATTGGATGTATTACGTATGCGGAATTTCGAATGAATATTCTCTTTGTGACTTAACCTGTCCGAACGTTGTTTAAAGTATACATTTTTTTTTCTTTACTTAGTAATCATCACCGAATATCAAAAAAGCGTTTGATTGGTATATATATATATATATATAATTATTCGAATATCTTTTTTTTGTTTGTTTTCAATAAAAAAAAAAAACGGAAAAATTATAAACTGTTAAGCCAATTCGATTTGTAAATCAACTTCTTAAATTTATCATTTAAAAATTATTTAAATATAACACAAATGTTGCACGTCTTATGGCTTTAGCACACCCGCTGATTTTTAGCTCCCTTATAATAAGTAAACGTAAATTTATTTTTATATTATGTTAAATCTTCTTTTTTTTGTTTGCATTTCTCATTTTATTTTTTTCTCTTGTCCTCTTATAAACGCACACGTAAATAATTCTACAAAAAATGGTAAATGTTCCAAAAAATGTTTATCCTCTTATCCGATTAGTTTTTTAAAAGTTTTTGTTTTTGTGTGTATGTGTGTATTTGTTGCCACTCTTTTGTTTCTCTGGTTATTATAAAAAAAATTCTTGTGGTATGAAAAATGAAATTTCATGCCTTCCGTTATAGTTTTTTTTTTTTTTTTCAAGAAAATGAACAACAAAAAATTACTATCTATTACATCTAGTTATAATGTGTTACAAAGAAAAGATAAAACTCAATCCAAACGAAAATCACAATGATTGCTGTAGAAATAACATGTTTTTCATTCTTGTATCTTAGATCGAAAATATCGAATAACGATTTGAAATCTTTTATTCTTTGCACAATAATATAATGAGAAAAAAATGTTGTATAAAAAAACGATTGCTCGTTCCTCCAAGTGCCACAATCAAATATGCTGTATTCTATTTGTTTGGCTGCTAGCTCGTCAACCAAGCGAAATGTTCGAATGCATATGTGTAAGCGCAGTTCCTTGGTCAGCCCATTTCTATCGGTGTATTTTTTCTAAAATATTGAAAATATTTGCATTCCATTTTCGATCTCCAAACTTGCTTAATTTTCATGTGTAGCATTTTAGCTCTTATTGAGAGTAAATCGTATATTAGTATACGTTCAAAGTCACGCTATAGGTATTCGCCCTTAAATTGTTTGTTTGTTCTCTGTACACACTTAAAATTTTACTAAAAAAACCAATTACAAAACAAAAAAAGAACTGAACGATGCAGTTTATTGTTTCTTTTGATTGATAGAGTGCGGGAAATCCAATGTGAATAGTTCGTTCTTTGTAGCAAAAAGAAGTGTTGTGTGTCGATGCGTTTAATTAGCGACCAATAGATTGATATTCCCTGTATTCAAATTGGATTCCAATGTTTGATGGTGTCCATTTGTCATGCCATTGATATGCGGAGACGGTGCACCAAGTGAATTCATCGCATTCGATGGCTGCTGTTGTTGACCATTTGGTAACCCATAATAATTGCTTGTATCGATATACGGTGAGTATTTACTGGCTGTGCCATTGCCAATATTACCATAGCCATTCGAATAAAATGATGTATTCGATCCAAGCGTATTTGTATTGGTTGGAACGCTGGCATACGGATTATTCGATTCGAATAAATTGTTTCGACCGTATTGCGGTGGTGAATACATGGCTGAATTCATGCTTGAACCATTTGACGATACGCCAGCCGACGTTGCCGATTGTGAGAAGAAATACGAATCATTCGGCATATTGCGTGATGATATATTGGTGGTATTTGTAGTGCCACCAATGGCCACCGACAATGGATTTGGTGACAGCGAACGAGCTGGCGATACGGGACCAATCGAATTCAAATGACCGTTGGTCGTTGGGCCAATCGGTGTCATGGCATTGTGACCATTGTGGGAATGATGATTTTGTTGCTGAATGGCTCTTTGTTTGATATAATTCGAGAATTCAGTTGGTGACATGCGACTGAAATAAAAACAAAAGAAAAAAAAGCAAATTGCTCAAATTAATTTCGAATTAGAATTGAAGAGCGGCAATAATGCCAAAACAAAATCATAAAAATTCTTCTAATAAAACTAGTACATCGTAAAACGAAAATTATTATTAATTATACATAGCGGAAGTATTAAATGTTGAATGTGACTTACCTGTTTGTACGCTTTGAATTGGTTTTTAATTTTGTACTTCCGAATTTCGTTGCGGCAAAACTGGCAGTAGTGAATGTCAATGGGGCGTGCGAGCGTGGTAAAAACGAATTACCAACGCCATTTGTGCCGCCGGCAGTTGATGTTGAACCAGGTGAACCGTTCGCATTTTTCATATAATTTTTGGCTGAATTAGCTGGACTCGGTGCTGATGTCGGTGGTGAATTTTGTGGTGATGTCTTTGGGCTCAATGACAATGCACTTAGCGATGAACTGACCGCATCGATTGGCCGAAAACATTGAGCTTCTGGATTGAATGTTTTTGTCACCTCACGATCAGCCGACGATGTATCTTCGGAGTGGCGATCATGCGATTCAGATATCAAAATTTTAATTGTTCCCTTTTCGCCAATACGATATGACACCTCTCCGGGATCAATCCAAACTGACAATTCGGCTGGTAGATTTTCCAAAATATCACTGATTGGTACACCACTTTCACGAGCTGCACGCTCTAGCACCGCATCGGTTGGATCACCAGTTTTCAAGCATCGGAATGCGGAGCCCTATTTATACGAATCAAAAAGAAGAAAAGAAAAAAGATCAGATAAAAGCATCGTTCAGTCAAAAATAAAACAAATGACTCGTTACATCGTTTAGATCAAAGAGAGAGAGAGAGACACACACAGAGAAAAAAAATATTTGGATTGAGAATCGTTTGAGAAATTTGTTACTTCGTTTATATTTATTGCTTTTAACAGTACCGACATTTATTGCCCTTTATAACTTCACACGAATGAATTTCACACAGACACAAACATATAAATGGCCATGCAAGCGATAAAATAAATTTTGTTGAATTTTATGGCTTTCTTTTACTCTTGTAATTGGTATGGTGTGTGGTTTCACGTTCTGCTCTGAATGTTTGTCCCGCACACCCACAAATAGCCAAAAAAATGGTTCAGTTTCATTGAAATATATATAATATTACATTACTTTTAACGAAATAAAAGAGATTCAATTGCGGAGCTTGTGGTTTGAAAGTCGAAACAAAACCACAGAATTTTTTTTTTTTTTTTTTTGAAAAATCTAGATTTAATATCGCTAGAAGAGAGTGCGAGAGACTGTATGAGATTACAAACAGTCTTGAAGTTCTTTGAACAATTTTCCGAGCATGAGAGAAATAGTATACTCTTTTCTATAGAAAAACAGATACAAAAGCAGAGAATGAGAAGAAGAGAGAAAATTCAGTGGAAAATTTGTGAAATGTGTGAAAACAGTAAAAAAAAATAAATCATCCTCAAAAACGAACTATGCTTCTTTACATAGTTTGAGTTATATACAGCAAGCGAGTTTATCTTTACACTCAAAATAAATAAATACGAAACAGCAGCAGTAGCTACATCCGTGGCAGGAACCACAGCAAAAAGATAACATGAATTCGTATGGGTTTTATGTGATGAAAAAAGTGTTCATACACAATTTGATGAAAAAAAAAAAAACAGTTTTTGGGTCGAGGAATAAAAAATATATATATACTTCGGGGGAAAAGCGCATCAACATTTCTGTTGAGCAATGATCCTTTGTATCGCAGGTATATTTGGATTGTGTAAAACGGCGATGCAGTTAATGGCGGTAGCAAAGCTGTCGACAAGCATTTTTTGGAATGCCAAACAATAATTTTCCTCTGGATCCAAAACCGTCCGATAAAATAAAATAAATTGTTAAATAAATATTATTAAAAATGATAGCCCCACCGACGTACACCAATACTGGTTATACATTCGGTTGTCGTTTTAATTTTTAACATAAACATACATGATACGCAGGTAATGCGGTTGGCCGTTTTCCATTAGTTAAGTTATATTGTTTTGGTAACGTGTGTCATGCGGCTTTTGTGTTTCTGCACGCAGATGAGTGTGCATATATGTGTATTGTATTCGGAATGAATGATGATTAATGAACGTTACATTCATGGTTGGTGCCGTAAGCAAAGTAGGCATAACACGAAACCATTGGAGATTTATTTACTAGATTTTACGTAAGTTTTTTTCTTTCATAACCGCATAAGTGTCGCACGTGTGTATATGTGTGTTTGTCTTGTACAAGATGTTTTTATGTGACTCGATGTTTGTTTAGACCCAGGAAAAGCTCTGGCAAATGTTATAATTGTAATGTGGTTAAGGTTTGCTTGCAGCTCCTTTCAGATGCTCATAACGGTGGCTTCATGTGCATATATATTCATTTCTCGGTTTTGCAGGGTTAGCCAATGCATGGCAAGAAAAAACCATGAGAAAAAGTGAAGGAAAAAAATTGCACACAAGCGAGACACACACACACACAGAGAGAGAGAGAGAGAGAGAGAGAGAGAGAGAGAGAGAGAATTATTATGGCATAATAAATAATGAGGCATATGTTTTGGCATAGAAAGGCCATAAAATTACACCATTTGAATGCTCCAATTTGTATAAGTAGATGTTGTATGCACCTTCAAATAAGAAACACACGTGGATTTTTTTGCGTTGTATGCTATTCAAGCGACTGTGCAAAATACAATTACCTTTACCAGGCGAAAACCGTTACGAAACGCGATGAATGAAAGAGCGAGAAAGAAAAGGAAAGGAAGGGGAGTGAGAGCGCGAAAAAATATGTATGTACTCAAGAAAAATTGGCTTTTCCATGGCTATTAATTCCGCCGAAGAAATATGAACATGCCATAAAAATGAGATTCGATCTTGTTATCAGCGAAACAGCTTTGCTCCCATCATCACTACACACGTTCGCATTCACTTCATGTGTATGTGTACATTTTTTTGATCAATTGACCAATCAATGTCACATTTCAAATGAAAATGTACTCTGTCGACACCAAAACATATCTCTTATTGTATGGGGAGTGGTGTGCGCATTCATTCTTTGCGGTAGATTTATTGCAGTCGAGTGAAAATCATCCATCAGCATTGGAAATTGGAAAGCTGCTGATTAATCGTACTGCAGCGAGTTTGAAATATTTGTGTGATGGTGAACAAGCATAGCACACTTACGCCACTTGCAGAAAACTGTTGTTGTTCAGCTCATTCAGTTAGATAATTAATAATAAAAAGGTATACACTGTATTTGATATGGATTTATTGGTGAAGTTATTTGCAGGTTGAATACCAAAAACAAAACAAAAAAGCAAAAACAAATGACTCTGGACAGGATGAGAAGATGGAAGGCAAAAAAGACACAGCCCGAGTGAAAAGTAGTTTCGAAAGAGATGAAAGTGAAAAAAACGGCATATGGGATTTGTCGTCCGGAATGAAAATGACCTCGTTATCTTATCACTCTATAAAATTAACAGGATCTAATGGTATTAGCTGAGAGAATCTTAGAAATAATTTGATCTATTCTTTTGGAAGTTTTGTGCATGTGATGTGTGCAACGAAACGCGTCGGCCGATGGTTGCGATCTCTCTCAAGGGAATAAAACTATTTAATTTTATTGGATCAATATATACTGATAGTGTGTGTTAAGATAAAAACGGCAAATGGTTGAAACATCTTTATTGTACTACTGAATTCGCAACTATATTCCATTGAGAGGGAGAGAGAAAGCATATGTGAGACGATTTGCAGAAATGTAATTTTCTGTTTCGATGCAACAAAAGTAAATAAAAATAGACAAACACTTGTACGAAATGTGTTGTGTGTGCAGCTATAAAAGCCGTTAAAATTATCCATAATCCATAGCAAGACATGAGCAAACTTTTACTCAACGTTCAAATATTAATTGAGGAATATGGGTGTTTTGAACCAAATATCGCACAGATAAAGTTTTCCTTATATTGCGCAAATGTGAACACCCAAATCATTTGGAGAAGACGGAGTGCGAAGGCGATAGATGTGTGTGCATGTACTGAATGTGAGCCATAATTAAAATGTATTATACACTTTTCTATTGCCAGCAATAAAATAAAAGTATTCGAAAGAAATTAAAAAAGGAGCACGATTTGTGCGCACACACACTCACCCACAAAACTTGGCCATTGTTTTGTCGCACAAAGCAGTGAAGAAATTCTATTTCTTATCTATAGATATATGTTTGATTAGATTAATTTTCTTATGAATAATTCCCTTATTTCCGCATTAAGAACAATGAATAAATCTCGGTAAAAGTTTGTGCACACATTGAATGGGATCGCCTCTGTTATATCGATTAAATGCTTTCATTGGGTTCGCTTTCACAAGTTTCATACAATAGAAATTATTGATGAGAATTGCTTTTAGCAAACGAATGATTACGTTTCTTTCGTGCTTTGTACGAACAATTTTTTTCTTCTTCTTTTTCGTTCATCCACAACATTTCGTTCGATGTGTGCATGTAGAGAGATAAATGTTCAATGAGAAACGGTAAAATAGAGATGATGAGCTGGCTAACGGTGTGGGAAACGACAAAATGCTAGACCTAATTGTTGCTAGGTTGGAAAACATTCAAACTCAGGTATTTTATCTGAAGAGATCAATAGTGCTCTGTTCGCATTATGCGCTCTCTATCCAATTCATGTCATATGAACGTGATGTTGTTGTTGTTGTTGTTGTTCGTATCCGAAATTTTATGGACTCTTGCTACCGGTAAAATAAATGACAATGCGGAATTGTTGTGGGAGTAAGCGATTTCCATGCCTATAAATTCACATGCCATATAACTTGCACTCTTTATCTTTCCCTCACCCTTTCCCTTTGCCATTGTCTTTCTTTCACATTCTCCCTCTAACTCCATCACAATATAGTCTACACTTGAATCACAGGCCACATGTTCAAACGTGATGAAGTGTTCCGTATGTGATCCGACATAAATGAATTTGACGACTTTTACAATGGCAAACGAGAGACTACATTGCACTAATCGCCATTTATTACAGAATAAAGTCGAAAATGACTTTGTCATGGAAAAAGAACAAAGCCAGAATTTTGTCGGAATCGAATCTAACGCAAACGAAAGCTAAATAATTGAAATTGAAAAGTGATACGCACCTTGAAGGGCTTCTCTGGATACCAATGTCCTTGAAATTTCTCTTTCAGCGCTTTTTCTAACTCTTCGCCAAATATGTTGACACGACGCCGTGGCAATTTATTGTACAGATATGATATAACGAAATTTAGTGCCACCGACACTTCTATGTGCATATTGATTGAATGCTGCGATGAATATGGTGCTGGAGAAAAATGTCGGCCGATTTATTTATTGATCGATTGCGATTTTTTTCCTTTTTTGGTCGGCAATAGCGGCGACGACGACAATGTTGACCAAGACAACCGTTTGAAGGGCAGTATACACAAAAGGTAAAACACGATCGTGAAAAATTGGCTGAAATTACGGCGTTTAATCGAAGAGGTTTTTCGAGAAGTAGAACATAAAGATTTTTATTTGCCTGGAAATTTGTGTGTGTGTGTTTTTTTTTCGTCGACCCGTGATGTGTGTTCTATATTTTAACGTTGATTCAGCAAATGAGAGGTACGTCAATATAACGATTCGATTTCGATGTATATTCGGAGTTGGCAAAACGTGTGATGTTTATTTATTTTTTGTCTCTTTGTGGCTCTGCCGTTATACGCATAGTCTTCTTCTTGTTGATTTATGAACACCGTTCGAATTTGACTTTTTCCGCAATTTTCTCGCTACCTCTTCCACTCTTTCGCTCACTTTTCCTTCTGTACAAAACGAAAAAAGAATTCGATATTCGTTCGAACGTTCTCCTGTGTTGTACTAGTTTAGTAAATGCAGTCGATGCTTTTGTGCTATTTTTCTCGGTCTTTGTATTGACAACCCACTATTTCAGGTTGCTTTGTTGATTTGTTCTTTCTATTTTGTCTTTGTTTCTTTGCCGCTTTTACTCGTTTGTGTTTTTGCTTATCAAAGCGGAAAAAGTAAACGTGTTTTGTGATGTTGCCTTATCTCTTTTCTGGTATCAAACGTGCACTGATGAAATATCACGGTGTCTTTTTATTTAGCACACTGACGTTGCTTGTAATTGCTGCTGTCAGGCGGTTTTTCCGTTCGTTTACTGTTTTTTGTTTTTATGTTCAGATGAATACTTGTTCGTATGTTACTGCGTTTTTGGTTACAAATTGTGTAAATGTGTATGATTTGACTTTTCTCTGCGGGCAATCGATTTGGTTTTGCACGTGCTGTTCAGGATTTAAACGGTAATGTCGATGTAGCCGTGGCTTTATATCTCAATGACTAGAACCTGGTAAGAAAGAGAAGAAGAAAAAACAGAAGTACATTCAATTAGTCAAATGTGTTCATAATTTGCTTCCACTCTAATATGTATGGTCAAACTGGTAGGCTGACATATATTTTTTTTTGTTCATATCACTTTCGGAAATGATCCATATCAAACACTCACACGCATACATAGAGAAAGTGAATGGTATATCATTTTGACACTTTTACGGAATAAAGAAACGTTTAAGTGATTTTTTGTTCTTTGATCGTCCCTTTTTCACATCATTGCGCAGATAATATTATGTCGAATTCAATTCCAAGTGTGCACGTGCTAAATAACACACAGACGTTTTTCTCCTTTTGAATGGAGAATCTTTTATATTTTGCACGTAACACAAAAATTGTGCAAGAAAGAGACAATTCAGTGGAAATTCAGTCATGAGAATAAACGATATCGTTGTTCACAATGACATTTTGAAGAGTTAATGTCATAAATCGATTTTATGTCTAACCTGCTTATAATTCACCCCGATAACTCAGTTTTTCCGGTGACAAAAAAGGCCAATGGAATTTTGCGTTCAATCAGTTTATCGATTTTATTCTTGTTTATAAATTCAATACGTAATTAAAAAATGCCATTCTTTTGCGTAGATATTTTAAATAAAAATCTCCAACAGTTTTTTCATCAAAATAGCCAGCCGCACTGAGCTGTCATTCGAGACGAGCAAATCCAGGTTGCATTGGTATATATAAATGTATTTCAAGTATACACAAGCTTATATATTTCTCATAAATTTCATTTGACAGACAACGCTGCGAGTAATTTGAAAAATTAAAAGTAAACATGTCCCTCAAGGTATTCAATCTTTGATTAATTTTTTTTCTCTTTCGTGTACGAATTTCCGTTGTTACGATGTTTCGGATTTTGTTTAAAGCTACAACGTTTTAGGTTGTCAGTTTCATACGAATTTATCTTGTAAATCTATTGATGAAGTAAATTCCTGGTATTATTAAAAATGTACAAGTTTCGAAACATCCACGACCACATATTTTTGCTCAAATGTAGTCGTTTGTAGTACACCACACGCACACACATTGACGTAAATCCCATTGATTGTAGCCACATAAGTGTTATCTTCATATCAAATCTCGATGGCCATCAAAACGATGTTTTTTTGGCTTATTTTTTTACCTTTTAAGGCAATGTCAAAGACTATATCAGGGAAGTTCCATTCGACCGTTTGCTTTTGAAATGTAAATTTTCAATTTAATCGCAAACATTACCGGTGAACCGATTAAACGAACCTGATTTCCTGGTTGCTTTTTGCGCTACACAACTCCAATAAATTTTAATTTCAGTGTGTCTGCTACACGCTACAAGAATTCTCTTTGGGTAAAAGAAGTAAACGAGTGTTTTTTTTCCTTTATCAAAATGTGAAATTGAAAAACCAAACACACAACCAAACGTTTGTTGAAAAAAAATGTAAAATGTGTAATATTACATGCCTGCAGGGTTGACTACTATATTATTATTCCAACCGATACTGACAGGTGGATAATGACCTATTCAATCGAATATATGTTTTCGGTTTGTTTAATTCAAACGAACCAAAAAACAACCGCATTTATTCGAAATGAAAATTATTTTCGAATTTTGTCATCGCATCAGTTTCAATTGAACACAAAATTTAAATGTCATTTAATTTGCATGTGTAATTTTCAAAAGTGTTTAACCAAGTCAACCAAATAATCATCGGATAATCGAAATGATATTGCCAATTTTTGTTAATTAAAAACCAAATGCCGAAATTCGTTGAATGTTACTATTTCTATAAACTCTCGAAAAATTGGAAATTTACACAAATTCACAAATTGTCTTTTTTCTAGTCTTTTAACGCTTCGCACCATCGAAATATAGCATACGAGAAAACAAATTCCGAAAATTAGCATAAAATAAATTAATCTTTATAGCTTTCGATGCAAGTTGTTTTGGTGTCACCCGTTTAAAATCCAACAAAATGGATGTTTTAAGTTTTTAAGGCAACTGAAATTGCAGCTGCTCAAATATGCAGTCGGAAAAAGTGTCGGAGCGTGCTTTAAATGAAAATCGTGTTGCATTTCATTGTAATCATTTAAGCTCTGTAGATTTTTGGGTAAATAAAAAAAATTGAATATTGGTGCAGCGCGTGCTTTTATCCATTTTGGATAATGGATACAAATATTACAGCAATTAGCTTCGGGTGAATGGAGAACGGACGGCAAAGAGTGAAAAATGTAAACGACAAATAAAATTCTGGAAAGTTGTCATACATCGAATACCATATGTTCCCTGCAGGATGTAACGAGCTCTGTAAATGACGTTGGACACAGAAAAACTCTCTCAACTAAATTTATTATTTATTATTTTATGAAATAAAAAAAAATTATATTATATAAAAATTAATTTTCCATTAGTATACATTCTAGAATGTTACGGATAAATTACATTAGCCACATACAAATTGGCCTTGACCCCAATTTTATTATCGTGCTTATACTTTGTGACGCATTATTATTCCAGTTGGTGGTTTGATTTTAATGAAATGAAATCAAAACAATTTTCAAATTTAAAATTAGACAAATAAATAAAACAAAAAGTTTAATTAAAATTCGCTTCGATCGAAAAATGTCCGTTGAGCTGTGTGTGCCATACCACGGCTTCTATTCTCCCACTCACTCAAAAGCAATTATGAAACTTATTTAAAGGTCTCGAACTTCCCCTACAGCCTTTTCGTATCACAGCGGATTTGTTATTGTTAGAATGTTGTTATGGTCGGTAGAATAAAAATAGTAAACAATAATTTATCATAGGCCAGAATCGAAAAATGTCAGGAAATTTTCAAAAAATGAATGAAATTCTTGTGCACGCACACGTCAGAAGATCGGATATGAAAAAACCGATTTTGAGTAGCGCATGTTTGTTCCCATAATGATGAGAAAAAGAAATGTGTCTACTCATCATCATTTATCTATTACGAAGCGATTATAAAAAATACCGAAATTCTGGCATCTTATAGTAGTATTTATTCAATGAACGAATAATATTCATGAACAAGGAAATTATAACAATAAAAATGCGAAGCATATCTAAGAATAAAACCGTAAAATAATTTTGATGCTTGTTCCCTGTATTATTTTCTTTTCTTTTATTATAATTTTTTTCTCATCTCATCGCTTTCATTTCGTTCAACCAGGAATTAAAGAAGGGAAGGCTTTCGTTTATAATTCCTGCATTCAAGATGAGTTTCGAAAAATGCCACACAAGAGACGCACCTCAAGAAGATTCTTCACAATACCGAAAATTTTCTTACACACAAACACAAGCCGAACGGAACAAAGCAATTTCACCAAACAAAATATTTATATAAACACGAAGCGACCATTACGTTACAATGTAAGGGTCAGTTGCTATTGTTTACACATTAAACTGAACGGTTGCCAGTTTCTATATTGGCCTTGATGTGTTGTGTTATGCATTTAAGATTAATGATGAAAATACGTGGACTCATTTAATAAATAGATTCTTTCTTGCTATTGAGTAGCACAATTTTCTCGGGATCAACTGACTACAAAAGAATACCGATATACACGCAAAATTCAAGTTTTTGCCAAGCTTAAAATTCCCTACAAATAACAATAATAACGGCTACACCAACAATAATGACAAGCGGGTTCTTTCTCTGTCAAGATTGGCCAAGGATAGAATGTTGAGAGCATGTAAACTAGTTCAAACAATATTTTTCTCTACCGCTCTTCCTCTCTATCTCTCTCTCACACGTTATTAAAATTCACTTGAAGACATAAGCTTCTTTCATAGGTGAAAATTTGTTTTAAAATCCTTACTGTCATTACGTGCAATTCAATAGAAATAATGAAATATGCCATTATGTGGGCAAGCTTTTGGAAAACTTTTCGACAAAAGCACATTTAGATTATAATTTCATAAAACATTTACCAATAAAATGGAATATTCGTCGTTGCTGGACACCTAATTTCCTGATAATTTTTACACGAAAACTTTTTTAATCCAAAATCGATGTGCGAGGTTTTTCACGCAAAACACACCATTCCGAATGCGCTCTTATCCATATCGTTCATAGAAAAACAAAAACGAACTGGAAAAAAGTCCATATCTTATCAAATAAGAAAGTTATAGATCATGGAAATGATACGGCATCACTTCGAAACGCTTCGCTTAAAAACTTTGCCTGCAAACACTTGTCACAAATTCGAATCGTGTTTCTGTTGTGTGTGTGTGTTTTTTTTTGCATTTGGCTCTTGCCATCGGTGAAAAATAAAGGTTTTTAAGAAATAAATCGCTTTTTTGTGTACCGTGAATAAATTGTTCCGGCTTAGAACGTCGTCGTCATCCGAGCGAAATAATCCACCGGTTTTAGTCGTTCATTGGATTTTTTTCTAACGATTTGTATGGAATGAAACCTACATCGCAAACCCATAACGAGATAAGAGAAAGAGATGCAACAGCAACAGAAGAGAGCCAAGAATGAAGAATGTTTTAGCGATACTTGAGAATGCTTATTATTTTGCACAGCATTTTACCGCTTGTGATGTTCTTGAATATGTAATAAAAGTACGATGACAATAGAAACATACTGATGTGTTGTATGTATCAGTTTTCGAAGCAAAGTCGAATAAAAAAACAAAAAGAAATCGGAAACTTTCTTCTTTTTTTTTTTTGCTCTGGTGGAGTGCTTGAATTTTGATCGGAAAATTTTGCCTCTAAACTTATTACTTCTTCTATTTTTTCTACTCGTTTTGTAGGGACATTCTTGTAACTTTTCCATTGCAATTTCAAAACTGTTCACAGAAGTTGTTCTTGCATAAAGTATGTGATGCTCGTTGTCGTAGATACACCGTTTGTCTTCACAACACTTATATGCGTTATGTACAGTTTGCTAATAACATTTTCGATAAGTTAACGTCAACCGAAAAGTAAATGTATGTGATTGGAATTGGCAAATC